GGATTGGCACAGAAACAAAATAATGTCTTCACGATAGGTTGTAAACCTCAACTCGTGTGCTAGTGATGATCGATAAGGTTTATTTGATTTGTTCTTGAAACTTTTCAAGACTATTAAGACTCCCACTGACTCCTTGACATATACGATTCTCTTATCAAAACATTTTTGACAAACAAATATTCAAGAGTTAGTGTAGCTTTATCAAAACAAAACACTTCATAATTTTGGTCTTAGTTGGTCTTTGTCTTATCCAAGACATCACAACTTTCCACAATTGATGAATGTTATAAACCTTCTTAATACTATTCACTCAATGTCACAATCTTGACTTTAAGACTTGTTTTGGAACGAAGTATGATTGACTTCTTGATTTGACCATTTCTTCAATCTTTGATTCCTCTTCTTGGACATACAATTGTACCAAGACTCATTAGAGGATCAATTGAGATATGGTTCTTAATCAAAGCATAAAAGCTACTCTCCCTTCTTCTTAGAATGGAGAAACTCTTATCTTTCTGCCTACTTGATTCTTCTTATTCGTTTTGCTATTGATCTAAACCCTTTAATCAATTCAAAATTACACTTAATCTTGTAAGTATAATCATATTTACTAAGCCTTTAGTAAATCATGACGAATATCTTTGTTACTCTTATGGTGAACTTGATCAACACACAACTTTGTGTACTCGATCTCCTAGTCCTTCACTTGACACTTTGTCAATGAATTAGTCTAATTTCCAAATATGAAATTTCTCATTCATCGTGCAACCAAGTTGCATGATTCCAAGTTTCTGTCCAATTGAAACTTGGGCGATGAGAAACTCTCCCTATTTGGTAAATTCTTGACATTTCCATAAATAACATAACTAAGAATCATATCCATTCGTTGTAGAAATATGCAAACATCAATTTTCACATAACGATTTCATTGCAAGGAAGTAAACAAATAAATAAATAAGTCAAACAAAATTTATTTTATTTATAAAAGCAGCGGAAAAACATTTGTCCTTACAATGCAAAATCTATTGAAAACTATGTAAAAGAAAATTTCTAACAACTCTATCATAACTATCTAAGCTCAAAATCCAATCTTCAAGTCCATGCGATCGAGATCCATCACTTGTGATTAGATTCATCTTGCTCTCTTATCAAGCTTCCTTTCTTTTCACCGATCCTTCAAAACATTCAAATGCAATCTTATCACATCATGTATTAAGAATCAATGAATAGGAACTTAATGGAGTTAGATAGTGGATTCTTACCTAAAGCGTAGTCATACTTTTGACTCTCCCATCTCTTAGATCTCTTAGGTAAATAGGGCAACTTCGTCTCCAATGCCCCTTCTCTTGGCAATAAAACTCTTTTGGAACAACACATGGAAGTACTTCAGACATCGCCTTTTTCTTATGATCAAACTTTTCGATCATTGCATGTCTTTCATTGCCATTGTCCATATCCATAGAGGTCTTGAAGGCAGATTCACCAATCAACTTTGCTTTTCTATTGCGCCAAACCATTGCTGATTCAGCAGCAATAAGCATATAGGTGAGATCTATAAGGGTCACGTCGTGGTTCATCATATAGTACTCTCTTACGAACTCACTATACGAGTTAGGAAGTGACTGAAGAACCCAATCAACAGCCATCGCTTCACCGACAACGGATCCCATCATTCTTAATCTATCAATGTGTGACTTCATCCCTAAGACGTGTGCACACACCGACTTGCCCTCTTTATGTTTACTTGCCAAAAGGGCTTGAGTGATATTGAACCTTTCAATTTTACAATCTTGTGGGTTAGGGAGAATAATTGGAGGAGGAGGAGGAAGTGAAGCATGATTTCTTGTTCCTCGATCGAATCGTGGAATATCATCTTCATGTGGAATGCTTGTTCCACGGGATTTGAGAAGACCATAGTTGTCGAACTTTGACATCGGGAGAAAACGAATTCAAGTTAGTTGATTGATTGAGTCCTTGGTAAATCACCCAAATGAAATTCCAAGGCTAGGACCCAACACAATATCCTACAACTCGGGAGAGGGATGCCGTAACCCAAATTGCAGAACATTTGAAGGTAAGTGAATGACGATTCACTAATTTCCACCATGAAAAACGAAAAAGAAATTTAAGTTTTAAATCTATGAAAACTCCTAGATCCTTTGAGATTCATTGAACATTTCAATGGCATGTTTAAATCTCGATATGCCCCTCTTGTTTGTGACTGGGATGCCGAGGATCACAAAGCGGGTGTGAATAACCATGCAAACTACATGGTGCCCTCACATGTTACAATCACCTATTCGATGTGCCGGTAAACCACACACGCTCCACCGAACTATGACAAACATTGAGTCACCCTTTGCTACCTTTGCTTAGAACCATTTAGTGTGCCGGTAAACCACACACGCTCCACTAACGTCTTCGCAAGGGCACAAAGTGTAATTTCATGGAATTGCATCAATTCACTTTTGCCTAAGTAACTAAGATTGGGAATTTGAAAAACATTTAGTTACTTTGTATTTCATTATACTTATAATGGAAGGTTTCGTCCTATCCTACCCGTTCGGCTAACGACCCTCCACTAGTCAAGAGTGCGGTGGGTAAGAGTGGATACCCATTCAATCGCCATTTTATAGGCAATTTCCTTAAACACCCCTTATAGACCAGCTTCGTGAATGAGGCCTACTAACGGTAAGACTGACTTTTACTCATACATATATATAATGTTAGACTTTTAATGTTATATATAGTATAGGGTGTATTTTATACTTTTAAAATACTATATGGTTAACTTTAACAATTACACTTTTAATTCAATTAAAAGTTAACCTAAACTTTATGGATTTATTAAATCTCTTTTAATTATACTCCTTAATTAATTAATAAAACCATAAGGGTGTGATTTGAACTTTTCAAAACATTACTAGGGTTTTAGAATTTAACATTTCTAATTAAACTTTTAATCAACTTTTAAATTCCAAAACTTGAGGGCAAGTTTTGAAACCTTTTTCAAAACATTAGGGTTTTAACTATTTAAATTTCAAAACCAAAACTTTTGGGTTCAAATTTAAACTATAAAACCTAAAGGGGAAAATATGAAACTTTCATAACAACAAGGATCAAATAACAAATAATTTTAAATTAACATTTAATCACATAATTATCCATATTTGATTTATTTAATGATTTCTTGCAAAACAATTTATCAATTTACTCAAAATAATTAATCAATTATCTTATAAGGAAACAATTATCTTATTAATTGATAATTATCTTTAATTAGATCAAGAATATAGTCATATATATCATAAAATCGGATTTATATTGATCTAACATGATAAGGTAACTATCCAATGCAAAAACAGCAAGAAATCCCGAGATAAGCATTATCTGACGAGTTGACTCGTCGAGTAGGCATGGACTCGTCGAGTCTGCATGGACTCGCGAGTTCAGCCATGGACTCGGCGAGTCCAGCCTCCACAATCCAAAAAATCGAATTTTTCAGTTATACAATGCATCAATACAATTGAAACCAAGCTAGGCTCTGATACCACTGATGGGTTTTGGTCATAAGACATCCTATGTGCTCATACAAACCCTAATGCTTGGATCTAGGTTTCTCTATTGTACATGCTTTGAATCCAAGACTATAAACCCTAATTCTAACATATGGAAATCGACATTAACATATAATTAGGTTTAAGAACATACCTTGATTGTTATGTAGCAATAACAATCCCAATTCCTCCTTGAATTTGCTTTGGAAGGCTTAGAGTCACAAGTGTCACTCCTCTAATGGCTTACAAACACCATAAGCAATGGAGAAGGTATAAAGGAGAGGTGAGAGGTTAGAATTCGTATCTAGGACCTCTTGGGAAGGGATACACGAATTCATGACCCTAGGGGTGTTTATATAGGTGTAGAGATAGGGTTTCAGTCATTATCCTTATCTAGTTGATTATCCATTAAGCAACCAATAAGATAATCCTTGAATCCTTATCATACTCGAATTCTAAGGCTTTCCAACCTTTAATTCGTCCACCATATAAATAAGATAATCCTTACCTTATTTTGTAACTATCACATAATTACAAATCAGCCCCTCTAGTTTAATTAATTACATTTGATCACAAAACTAATTCTTAATTAATTATTGACCAATATTAATTAAACAAATATGATTTCTCCTTTAATATATTATTACTATAACATATTAATAAATCATATTATCCTCTCTCTCTTTATTCATTTCTCCAATCAAGTTGCTTTGGTGAAGGCAACCCAAAAGGACCATGCACCATCGGGTCAAGTACATACCAAAATAGTTATGGACTTAGACACTAATCCAACAGAATGGTCATCAACAAAATACAACATAACACAAGTAATTACCAACGGACATAACCGGAGAGGGTCCCCATAGATCATAATGAATAAGGTCAAGTGAATTCAATGCATATTTATTACAAAGATCAAATGGTAAACAGTGACTTTTAGCTAGATGATAAGGCAAACAAGTATCTGGTTTAGGTAAAAGAGTAGAAACATATAAAGAGCCAAGTTTTTGTAACTTAAAAATAGTGTCAAAATGAACATGTCCCAGGCGGGAATGGCAAACTTCAAAAGATTCCTTAGCTCTTCGAGATGAGGCAACAAGAGCACGATGACCTGTTTATAAGACATAAAAACCATTCTCACATCGTCCCTGGGTCAGACTCAGTTTTGTTTGACAATTTTGAATGTAGAAAGAAGGGTAAGATAATAAGACATCCATATGATTCTCTTTGGTTAATTTGGTAATGAAAAATATATTCTTTGTGAGATTGGGCGCAACCAGAATGTTATTTAACTTGATGTTATCAAAAATGAAAGATTGGCCTTTGTGAGTGATGGGGCGAGTGTTACCGTTGCGGAATGTGACCAAATTGTTGCATGAGGTGGGTGAGGGATTCTTAACAGTTTGAGTAGATGGAGTCATGTGATATGTGGCCCCTGAATCCTCATATCAATTGGGACCGGAGGACGAAAATGTCATTGAGATAAAAATGCACTAGCCAATTTGTCATCAGGGGGAATGACCGTGGGAATGTACTCAACAACAAATGATGCCAGACGAGGACATGCATTGGCGTAGTGACCATCTTGGCGATAAAGTTGACAATGTGGAGGGAGGCTACCGATGTTGTAGAAGGAGATGAGGGACGGTATGTTTGAATCGAGAAAGCCACCGGTGTTGTAGAAGTGCTATAAAGGGCATGAATGAAAAACTCATGGCTTTTATCCCCATCCAAGAGATCGAAAAAGGCTGGAGTAGGTTGAGACGAGCGGATGACAGTGGAGAATGTCTCAAAAGATAGTCCAACATTGCAGAGAAAGTAGTGAATTTGATCATTGATGTCAACCAGATAAGCAGCGACGGCTAACTGATTGAATAGAGTTTTAAAATGACGACCATAATCAATAATGGTTTTTGAATCTTTTAAAATTAGGCCAAGTTGATCGCGAAGATTGTGTACCCGTTCAATGGATGAGTTTCCATAACCAATCTCCAATGCAACCCAAATCTAACAAACAGTTGAAAGACCTATGATAACCGTGACAACCTCTTCAGATAAGTTAGTGTTTATGGTAATAATGGTGCGATGATTAGCGGCAATCCAAGCGATATATGTGGGATTTTCGATTGTTTTTTCATTATTGGTGACAGGGGTTGTGGATGAACCATCTACATGGGAGATGAAACTTTGATATGTTAGGAGATGGATCATTTGTATTTTCCATAGTAAATAGGTTGAGGGGAAAAGTTTCAGATGGATCAAGTGAGCAAGGGAGTGGGGAAGGGTGTTATCAGTAGTGGAGGAGGAGGCAGACATGGATGTTGAGGAAGGAAAAAGAAAGAAGTAAGGAATGGGCGTGAGGGGTGATCGATAGGCTCTGATACCATAAAACTCTTGGAGAAAAGTATATTCTACTCCACTGAGCAAATGATACAGACAAATAAATAGGAATTTCTGTCAGAAATTTAGGTTATAGAAAGGCTTGGAAATTCTGAGAATTGTGGTATCACTTTCAGATTAAAGTGTTTGGGTGGTACTCCCAATCTTTAATCGAATAAGACTCAGAAATTGAGAGTAAGAACAGAAAATCTGGTTGTTATGAATTTCATGTGTGCCATCAAATGAAGAACAAAATTAGTTAAGTACCTTTTTCATCAGAAAACTGTCACCAGATAGTTATATGTCTGAAACCAGCTCGACCCTAGCCAGGGGCTCTGCCCCTTGGACCTTGCTCCCAGGAGCGCTGCCATCGAACCCCCGTTCGTTCAGGGGCTTCGCCCCTAAATGACAGTCTACTTTTAATCTTAATAAACTTAAACAAATATGCACTCCGCATCTTTCTTACTTGTTTAATATTCATAAATATAGATTTTGATCAACAAGTCAACTCATTACACTTAAATACAATTAGTGAAACAAATCACGAACAATTTCCAAAATATATGAATGGTCTAAAATAACAACCAATAATAAACATAGGTAAATGAAAGGTAGAGTAATAATCTTATTATCGTGAGCTTATCCACCCCATACACTTGCATCTCAAACTTTCTAATTCTTTAAGCATCTTTTCTGGAACTTTAGAAGTTGACATAAAAAATATACCAATGCTACTGAGAAAAGATTTCAACATAGCAGTACGTCAGGTTTTTACCTTGCAGATTGAAATCAAAATATATTAATACTCAAATCATCAATTAATTGATACATCAATGCCAATAATTCACATCCAAACATGACATTCTAATTATACCTCTGCCTCGATTTTTTGATGATTACAACTATTTGATACAACTTCAAATTACTTGATATATTTCAAAAAGAAAAGTTCAATTACTATTTGATTAGGCCTCCATATGGTTTTTCCAAATATTCCCCATTCTTAAGATTCTTCACTGAATTCACAACATTGATGTTATTTTCTACCGATTTATTAATAATTACAAATTAACCTATACCATCAGTTTATAATTGTTCCCCACAGATTTATTACTAATTACAAAACATTAAAAAAAAAAAAAAAAAAAAAAAAAAAACTCTTAAATATATTTTAATAGAAACAAACTACAAAATACAAAACACATGATATAATTATTCTCTAGAAGTGCATTACGAAATATAAAAGATGATATAATTCTGCTTTCGATTTGCCATATCAAATGTTTAATATACCAATTCTAATTTCAAAACACAAATTTTTCTTGTTAAAACTTCAAAGAATCGTAAATGAAATCATTAATAGAAAAATCCCATTGATTACTACTCCCTTAAAAATACAGAATCAACCAATATTCTTTCCTCGAGCCCATGCCCAAAATCCTAAAATTCTAAAACCCTAAAACCAAACCCAAACCTAAAATCAAACCAACCCAACCCCCCAAAGCAGTAGAAGCCACGCCTGAAGTCGCCGGAGCCGGTGCGTGCATTTTCGGTCTATCAGTACCTTGTAGCATGGCTGATGGCATCGGAGCCGATGCTGTTTTGGGAGGAGCCGGTGTTGTTGGGGGGAGGGTGGCCGACGCTGGGGTGGGAGGAGCGGCAGTGGAGTGCACGATGTGAGTCCGGTGACTCTCCGCCATGACAACGATCCACAACTTTTCACCGTTCTCGCATTTACCTTCATGGCCGCTGATGAAAAAGAAGGGACCTGATCTTGTAAACTTGAAGACGGAATAACCATCGTTTAGGGTTTCTTTGGGGTCAGTTTTGTTGCAGTTGTGGTAAGCCTCTTCGTTTACGACCAAAACCGAATCCATCCCTTTCTTGTACTTGAAAACTGAAACACAACAAACAAAACACAAACATCGATCCATTAAACTTATCTTGAGACGATTTGATTTTCAGTCATGCAAACATATAATTAAAGAGAGATTTGGTAGTTACGAAGTGAGTCATTGACTTGAAAGCGGTTTCTTTCAGCCCAATGGTTGTAGCTCTCACGAGGATCAATAACCCAACCATTTTTGCCACCAACATGGAACGTGTAGCCATAACATGACTCGAAGAACCCTGCGGATATGATGAACAGCAAACCGAAGCTTGTAAGCAGATTCATTTGATGTTCCATAGATGAGAATTCTACTATGTGTGTTTGTGTGTTTGGGAGATGGAAATGAAGAAATGGCGTATTTATAATAGATACGCAAGTAAAGTTACCGTTGGAATGCATGGTAATCGCTTGGTTGGAGCTGAGTTGGAGGCCACGATTATCATACCGCATATCATGTTGGTAAAACTGTAACGGTTATTGTAATTCAAATTCAGGATTTTCCTTAACAATCAGGATCGAGTTATTTACATATATACATACAAATACAATATCAATCTATAGATAAAAGATTCACCAACTTATCATATTAAATAAACTTTTAACACTGCACTTGCTCATATATACATATCCAGTCTTCGTTCCAAAACATGTTTTACTCACTGTTGAAGTGTCTGTCGAGCCAAAATTCTTCATATATCTAGCGTTTTAAGGTTGATCTGAATTAATCAATTAACAGTTTAATTAACTGAAAAACAGCACACGTTAAGGAAATGAAACTAACAAGTAACAATCATATATTCTAATCTAATTCAAAAAAAAATGGTACATGTTAATTTGTTAATTAAATCATTGTGCTTACAAAATTAGTACCAACATGCCAAATGGTATGGTGAGATGTTCAACCTTAAAGAACTTGAGGGATCAAGTCCGGTACAAGACATATGTGGAATTAAGCAATAGATCATTAAAAAGTGTGAACTAAAGTTTAAAAAAAAAAAAAAAAAAAAAAAAAAAAAAAAAAAAACCTCACAAAAAGAGTTCCACTCTAATCATATTTTACTTGGTTTGATCATTTAATTTTGTGAATATGATACGTAGACGACCATCACTCACTCTCTATCTCGAAGCTGCTATCTTTAGGAGTGATCCCGAAGTTCCGAGCCCGATTCAACCCTACATCAAAGGTTTTGCATGACTATGGTGAGTTCACGGCTCCTATTTTACTGTTTTAAATGTTTTATGCGGGTTGGGGGGGGGGGGGGGGGATGAGAGGGCCAAATGAAGGACAAGTATCCTCACTTGTTCGAAGGAAACCTGACGAAAAGATAAAATTACGGGACGAAATTTCCTAAACAGGGGGAGACGTTGTGACAACCGAGAGGTTTCCATCACTGATCACCATTACAGGAAAGAGTAGGAAAATAGATATAATAGCTTAATATTGTAATATTTGATTTTTGAGATAATAAGAATGAGACGTGTCATTACATGTATTTCACAAAACGTTCATTTAGCTCAAATATTAACGTCCGAAAAGTTGGAACGTTTTCTAAGCTGGTTAACGTGCTTGGATAGTACTCGTTAACATGATCTCAATGATATAAGATTCGTAAAAATCTGACTCCAAAGGAAAGAGTTTTGGATTTTATAAAAACAGAAATCAACCGTGTAACTAAAATTAATTACGTGAAAACGGTATTTATAGATTGGTTAAGTTTTGACTAAAGTGCAAAAAAGAGTTTCGTAGTACTCATCAAGATATAAACTATAGAAAAATTTTTTTTGCAAAAAACGGGATCCGTATGAAAGAGATAATTTTTGTAAAATCATTTATTTTTACCTTCGTTAGGCACGAAAATGAAAGTCAAAACTAACCAAAACAATTTAAAAGAGAGTTGTAGTACCCTTTGAGATCATAACATAAATATAGAGAGGTCTTATATCGAAGGTCACAAAAAGTTATGATTTTTGTAAAATCTTTTCATGCGCGTTAGGTGTGCATCTCCGCACGTCGTGCACCTGACACCAGATTCGAGTAGATTGCGAGAGACGCGACTGAGTGGAGAAGTGACAGGTGGCAACTTCCTGTGGAGCCACAAAGAACACACGCGACGCTCACAAATCTTAATCCGGCGTGCACCTCTAAAACTCGACTATTTAAAAAAAAAAAAAAAAAAAAAAAGAAGGCAGTGACATTCCATTTCTACACATCTTCTCTCTTCTCTTTCACTCTCTAGAAGTTGCTACCTTTAGATGTTAGAATGGTCAAATACCTATGATAACGTAGTATCTAGAAGTTATGCTGGTCAAATATATGGATATGCCATTACTAGTTGTTACTCTATCCAAATATCTTGTTTTCGAATAATCATGATTAGGCTATATATATATATATATATATATATATATATATATATATATATATATATATATATATATATATATATATATATATATATATATATATATGACAAAACTTCAAAAATGGTCCCTTTGGTTTTCGAAAATATCAAGTTTAGTCCCTAAGTTCAAAAAACCTCACAGATGGTCAATGTGGTTTCAAAACTTTTAATGTTTAGTCCTTCCGTCTAACTCCGTCAGTTTTCTACCGTTAAGTGAGGGGTGTTTTCATCATTTCAATACCTAGGGACCATTTATGAGGTTTTCTCTATTTAAAAAAAAAATGAAAAAAATTATAATTATTTAATTAAAGGGCTCCTCTCTCTCTCTCAATAATAATAATAATAATAATTTTTATCCCTAAATATTCTTTCATCTTCTCTGCAGAGAAATCCCACACAGAGACCAACAACAGCCGCATCAACCAAGTTGGAGCAACGGATGTTGTTCAAATCCGATAAAAACTTGTGGGTTTGGATACGATTGAAGAAAAAATGAACAATCTAAGAAAATTGTGAAAAAGGATTGTAATGTCGAAGTCTTTTGGGATGTATCAAGACCTGCGTTTGTGGAAATGGAGCCCATCACTGATGTTGATCATTTGGATCTCATTTTAGACAACGCAAACCAAGGGATTGTAAAGTACGATAGGATTCCCAAGCTTCAGGTAAACTTTCCTGTTCTTCTCGCTAATTTACTATGCTACAAATGTAGTCAATGAAATCAGTAGCAACTCCCTCTGTTCATTTTTATATTCCAATCCGTTTTTTGATTTCTGTTCATCACTCAGATTCCCCTTTACAAATCTTTTGTTTTTTGTGGAATCAGTTCGTCTTCCCGTTCAAAACACATTTGTGGGGGTTCTTTTTTTGTGGGTTTTCAATCCATTTAGTTTGGGATAATATCTCCAAGTAAACTAAGGAAGAAGCTAATGGGGGTAGAGGAGTTTGAATCAGGAGGAACAAACATCCAACTCCTATCTCTCAATGAAATTTCAAGACTAGAAGTGTTATTGAATCGCAAAACCGAAATGATTAGTGGGTATTTGTGTTCTCAAAAATCAATCAGTTTCCTTCCTATCGGTTTGTGTTCTTGAAGCTCTGGGCATAACAGATAGTAATTCAACCTGAAAACAGACTCCATTTGTTCATCCATTAACAGTTTGTTAAATACGTTTCGTGGTTGCAATTTCAATTCATCTGTTGAGATTGTAAATGGAAAATGGAATCCCCTAAACGATTTGATACTATTGTGGTGTTAAAGAAGGAAAATAGTCTTAACCTGATAAATCCTTGTGAACCCATCAAAGTTTTTGATGAAGATGATGATATATGAAACAGATTGAATAAGGTTTTGAAAGAATGGTGATCAGATTATGTTTTTTACCTGATACCCAATTGGAGATTAAGCATCTCGATCTAATTCTATGACGTCCTTATACAACATTTATGGAGATTCCAATTTTGTTCAAACTGTGTTTGTTGGTGTGAAATGTATGTGGTTTTTTTAATGAAGAAGATGATCGTATGTGTGAGTGTGTGTGTGAGAGAGAGAGGGTCGTTGGGTTGGGCCCTTTAATTAAATAATTATATTTTTTTTCTTGAAAACCTCATAAATGGTCCCTGGGTATTGAAATGATGAAAATTCCCCTCACTTAACGGTAGAAAACTGACGGAGTTAGACGGAAAGACTAAACATTAAAAGTTTTGAAACCACAGGGACCATCTGTGAGGTTTTTTGATCTTGGGGACTAAACTTGATATTTTCGAAAACCACAGGGACCATTTTTGAAGTTTTGTCTATATATATATATATATATATATATATATATATATATATATATATATATATAATATATATATATATATATATATATATATATATATATATATATATGAGGTTAAAAGTTATAATTATCAAATATAAGATAAAAGATTTATATCGTGATAGTTTTAGGAAATCCGTAGGAATGATAAAGATAAATGATAAATGATAAATGATAAATGTCTTAGGTCAATGCGTTAGTGAGTTGTTGATATTCATCCAAAGACCTTGATTAAATTCGACATTCTCTGATACTTATAATCGTTAATTTAACAAGAGGTAGGAATATATGTATAGATCTATATGGGGTCTGACAAGCCCACCTACAATTGAGAGCTACAATCCCGACATGAAAACTTTCTTATTATTCACTATTCGACGTCCAATGAAACATCGTGTCGTGGAAAATTATTAGTCAAACAGCGTCGATTATAGGGGCTCATGGTAATAAATTAGAACACCTTAGAGATCCGACTACCATTAAGGATGCCTTAGAGTGGTAAATCAAATACCTTAGGATTGTTAGATATCCTATGTAGATAGTAAATTAGGATTAATAAATATATCCTGAAAATATAAAAAGATAGGATCGTTAGATATCCTGAAAAGATAGTAAGCTAGGGTTGATAAAACACTTTAGGAAATGTTTTTCTAAAAAGAAAAATAATTCTTAAATTAATACAACCAAATAAAAGTCAAAACTATAAAAGTTGTGCACTCACCAACATTGTGTTGATGTTTTCCAAAAATACATGTATTCTAATGGAGATGAGTGTAAAGGACAGCCGTGTCAAGGAAGAGGAAGTCTTCAACGAAGCTACGGGAGTTTAGTTCCGTTAGTTTATCGTTTCTAATAATGTTTAGGTTGCGTGCTTGACTTTAAAACAATATAATCACAAAATAATTTATAGTAAATAAAGTAATGTTTGTGATATGCTTTTTGTGTTATGTTTTATATATATATATATATATATATATATATATATATATATATATATATATATATATATATATATATATATATATATATATTATATATATATATAGGTCCAATCTACCCTCGTCCGCACTGCCTAGCGTTTCCACCACCGGCCAGGGGTGTGACAGGAAGGTCCAATCAGCTTAAACCCAAATCGGTCTTAGCCTACAACTAACCCTTTAAATTAAAAGTCTTATACATTTAGCCTAACATCTCAATCCTTTAAGGTCCAAATCTCATCTTTAAAATCTTGAGAGATTCTCTTGATTAAATTGAAGTCCGTCATTGTGAAATAAAAAACATTCTGAAACCGGATGTTACAGGTGTCCAACTACAACAATGATTTTTAACATAATCTTATGGCAAGTTCGGTCTCGAAGAGACCCGAAAGGTTGGGGAAAAGGGTTGCATCCTCTTGTAGGGTCCTGGGGTAACACCTTTTGCTGGTTCCAAGGGAAAGAGCTCTTGACGGTAGTCCCACTACAAAATTTCAGTTTAGAAGTGTAGTGAAAAAGGTACTGAAGAAAAAAAAGCATGTGTTGGTTTGGTTCGAAACAACGCAAATTGCCTAAAGTTTCCGTACAACTCGAGTTGTTTGACAACCCAAGTCGGTGACTGGTGAGCGTGAGTTGGCATGACTCAATACGTAAGATGATGTGACAATCAAGTCATCGGTGAAACACCATTTTCTATACCTAGTGAGTATGAGTTGGCGTGAGTTGGTCTACGGGCAATCACTCGGGAGAGAAGACGTCTCTCTCTCTCTCTCTCTCTCTCTCTCTCTCTCTCTCTCTCTCTCTCTCTCCCTCTCTCTAACACCATTCCTAATGATCTGTGAGTTGATATTTTGGGTGAGGTGACACATCTTCACGTGTAGACCATTCTGAATAGCCTAAGCATTTTAAGTTGTCTGGAAATCTATTTTCTAACCGGAAAGTGTCATTTTCTTCGAGTCTTAATCCTAATTTCAGATGTATGAATACATGTGTATATAATAAACACTTTGTCAAGATTTTGAAACCATATTGAATATCTTGAAACCCATTCATAAGTAGAAACACCCTATTTGCACCTATAATTTCTAACAAATTCAGTATATTGAGTCACATAACTATAACAACATATAACTAGTATGAAAGGAAAGCTTATATTTTTTGCAAAATGGTAAGGGAGACGGGGTGACAAGTCTCACTGTTTAATTATGCATTTTATTCAACAGTCGATGGAGCTACAAATATCATGTCCTACTATACTTATACAACTTACTATACATACATTAGTAACATGACTTCTTTCTATAATTAAAAATCCTATGAAGAGCATCAGCATGTTGTACGGTACAAGTTATGAATGCCTGTTTCCAGCATCATGAATGAGTATGACCACAGGGAAGCTCAAAGCAGTCAACAGGATGTTCAAGCACTGCGTCACATTCCTTCTTGCTCCTCTGAAGAGGCCTCTCCGGCAGACAGTTTCTCCGGTCATCCGCCACAATCCCCACCGACGTCAAATTCCCACAAACACCCTCTTCCTCAAAGAAATAGTTGTACGAAAACGTGAAGTTTACCAAATTAGGCAACTCACAAACACCCAATGGAACCACCCCACTCATCATATTATGCCCTAAATTTAGCTGCTCCAAATGAGCTAATCCTGCAATGCTGTAAGGTATTTCACCCACCAACTTATTCGAGCTCACATCCAACACCCTTAACTTGTAAAGAAACCCCACCTCCTCCGGCAAACACCCCGATATATTCGTGTTAATCAGCAGCAGTTCTTCCATGGTGTTTGCGAAGTTTGCAATGCTTGGCGGGAGACATCCTCCCAAGTTGTTGTTCGCGAAAACCACCACAGAAGCCGTGCTCGATCCCAAATTCGAAGGAATCACAGACGTTAAACGATTGCTGTTGATGAAAATGGCGTCTAGGTTTTTGTTGAAGAGCTCCGGCGGCAATGGCCCTTCGAATTCATTGAAACGGAGGTCGAGAAATTTGAGGCTAGGGAGGGACATGACGACAGAAGGGAAAGGACCCACAAATCGATTGTTACTTAGGTCAAGCTCGAAGAGGAGAGTGAGATTCGATAAAGTGAGAGGGAGGATGCCACAGAAGCGGTTGCTGTTTAGATGGAGTAGCGCAAGGTCAGACAACAAGCCGAGTTCATTAGGGAGGAATCCGGCGATATCTGCGTGGTTTAAATCGATTCCGGCAACCGTCTGGATATTTGTGTCGTTTGGATACGGAGCGCAGTATATTCCTGTGTAACTGCAAACTGAAGGCCCAATCCAATCTGTAGTAGTATTATAAGGGTCGGAGTAAATCACGAGTTTCCATGCTTGAAGTGCTAGGTAAGCTTGTTGGAGTCGTGGGTTTGATGCACTTGAGTCATGGTGATGATGGTGGTGGTCGATGATGGTGGAATGGCGGTGTTTGGCTGTTATGTTGGCGAGGTAAAGAATTATAAAGGAAAACACTGCAGTACTGGTAGTAACTAAAGAGCTTCTCGGCGCCATTTCTTATTCTTGGCAAATGGTAATTATATCATGTTAATTATGTGATATTTATAAGGAGATGTATCCTTAAACAACGTTATTGGGTGACAAAATTATTGACGTTTGAAAAAGTTTGATAGGATAAGAGGATCTTTGTAGGTTAAGAATAAATTGCAAGACAATTTCTAAACAATCGATTGTTAATTTGAAAAATGTAATGATAAGGAGATGACAACCTCCATGTTATCGATCAGTGGTTAAGAGAGAAAGACAGCCACCGTTTGAGATGATGAAAAGGTTAACTTGAATACAAAGGATTAGAGCCCAAAAAGTCAAAAAGCAAATACATGAACATCAAATTTTGTATTCGATGTTTTTTTTTTTCTTGTTTAATGCCATAAATTCCAATCAGCCTATTAAGGGATGGTGGTGGCTACTGGCGGCTGCAACAATGCGATGGTGGTAGAATGTGAGAATTTTGGCGGGAGAGTGATCAGAGGTTCATCTCCAGTCAATTTCTGGAATGCCATTCCGAGTGTATAACCGAGTGCACGCCCGACCGGAACCGCCACAGCATTACCCACTTGACGGTATCTGCAAATCCCACCGGAATCGGAATCAGAATCCCATAAAGATATAAAAAGAAATATTCAATTATTATAAAGAAAAAAAGAGTTTTCACCTTTCATTAACAGTACCACATAGTACATAGAAGTCGGGAAAACCTTGTAACCTTGCATTCTCACGAATAGTAAGGACCCTATCTTGTTCTGGATGTAAAACAGCCTGAAATCAAAAGAAAAATTAAATTAATAACACTAAAAATTGCTTTGTGGGGTATTTTATAATTTAGGGGAAAAAAAAAAGTTACCTCGACACGGAAATTTGGCAAACAGAAAACAGTGGAAACAGTCTCATCCCACCATAAACGTGCAAAAGACCTAATAAATTTTATTGGGAAAAAGTTGATGAAATGCGAGAAAGATAACAACATTCATAAACAATACGATTCTCACCTTGCACTTTTCCTTTCTAATAAATTTATGGCATAATCAGGGACCTGCATAAATAAAAATAATTATAAAAATATGATTTTTGTAGATAGATAGAATGTAGGGAATGTAAGTTTTAAATTACCCAATGTTTTCCAGATGGCATGAGGTCGGCTTCAGGTAACCTGGATACAGTATAATCATCATCAACAATAATGCCAGGGAGATCTTTAAAACTTGCTCCCTAAAAAATAATAAAAATCTTTAGAAAAAAAAAAACTAAACAGATTTAAAAAATAACACCACACCATCATACTAAAAGTAAGTAGCAACCTTTGTTTTTGGGATTCGAGAAACACGCAAATAATCATCCTCGTTTAATTCTTTAGGGCGGTGATCGTGTAGTTTAGGCTTCTGCTTCTCTATACAATGGATGCCCAACATATCTACAAATTGCAATCAAAATTAGCTTTTTCCTTTTCTTTTTATTGTTTCCATTTCATAAAAAACGTTGTTTGATACTTTGATATGTGAATATTATTGGTATAATAATTACATGTGACAAATAAACAAAACATTAAATAAACTCACCTGACTTTGTAGCCCTAATATATTTCTGAAACTCGGTTTCTGGATCACTTCCATACTTCATTTCATCACGAATTTCAGAGTTTGAGACCTGAAAGTATGTTGCTATTTCTTGATTAATAGATCTACTTTCATTCATAGCAAACATCAACAAGTGAGAGAAAGAGTTTATACGGGTGGAAGATCAGATATGGCATCCTTAAGAAGAACACATTCCTCAAGATCCCGTAATTCCCCTTTATCATAAGCAACAACATTACGCTGTAACATAATATAATAGTATAAAACCACATTAGTAAAAAAAAGCACTCAATAACCTTAATTCAATTAACCAGAGTTAGCACCTCAAAACCAGTTGGAGGCCCATACTTGAAGATGGCATCATGAGTCGGAAGTGGAAATGGTGGTAGATTCTGCATTGTAAATACTCATCAAATCATTTTATAATTTTTGGGATTATAGTATTAATAATAAAAAAAAAATACTTGCCACGTCAGCATGAGCGCCCCACAAGAAGACACGCAAGCGGAATTGAGGGAGACCGTAACAACCAGCGGCCATAATCCCAAGGCGGACTTGGTAATGATTGCGAACCAAACAACTAATGGCGTATCTTGCAAGGCAACCATTTGCAAATCTCAAAATGTCACCCACATTTTCCATGAGAATAAATTTTGGCCTCAAAAAGTTTATAGTTTCCATGAATACTACAATTTGATAATTCCTTTCGTCTTCTAAAGGAGATTTGAAATTTCTATGCCGATTGTAACCGCTTATTCCTTGGCATGGTGGGCCACCACAGATGATGTCAACATCACCCTGCAACATCAACACAAGAGATAACTCTTTTTTATAATAAGCGTAATGTTTTATTAATTATAAATAATAATAATAATAATACCGGACGTGGCAATATGTTTGCCTTCATTCCCTTTTGGACAAACTCGTGGATCTTATCCTCGCAGTTGCTAAGAAAACAAAAATAAAAAAATTAATTATGGAAAACATAAGTAGGTGGTAGAAAAATTCAAATAAACTAATATGCCAGTGCCAGTGGTATATATAATATTCAAATAAAGTATTCAAACTTTAAAATAGCGTAGTAATAAAACTATAAGTAAATGACAAATTTGGTCCCTAGGGTATACAGTATACAATTCTTTCAGGTTTGGTCCAGGGGTAAAATGGTCATTTAAAAAGAAAAGTAACAGCTGACCATAGGGACCATATTTGTAATTTACTCAAACATATAAATACATTACCTTAACTCCTGAATTGGCTCCCATGTATCATCACTTGGACCATATCCAGCCCAACGCACCTAAAGATATTGTTTTTAAAAAACTTAATTCCAAATTCAAAATCTAAAAATAGTAATTATATATTATACAACGTTTTTAGCATACCTTAAATTTGAGCTCACGTTTATTTTTACCAAAATCAGAATAACATATATCAACCAATCTTTCAACTTCATATTCATCTTCTGTAACAATATCATCAGGCTTTGAGCTTGAGGGTATGCTGACATCATCAGCTGACTCAGCCAACATGGAATCTTGATCTTGAATTTGATCTTCATCTTCATCTTCATCCTCATTGACTGAATATTTTTTGCAGAGTTTGTCCCACTCCTTTATTAGGTCAAGAAAGTCTTCAGCAGATTCATTTCTAATCTGTAAAACAAGAATCGATAATCAGTAAAATCATACGATTTTAATTTAATGAAAATGATTTTAGAAAAACAAAATGTTACTACTGACTTGTGTCTCTGGATGGTTTAACCTCAAGCTTTCACAAGCATCTTTGTTGGCATCTACAGCCCATTTCTACATATAAATTTCAACACAAATTGGTAAAATAAAACAAAAAAGGGACAGATTAAATTAAATTAAATTAAGTTAAATTAAATGAAGTCATTGTATCTTACTGTTGAAAGATCAACCCCAGATGCCTTTGCTCCAAAACATAATCCTGTTGACATTCCCCCACAACCAGAATACATATCTAATAGTGATAATTCTGATTTTTTAGGTTTTAAATTATTATTTGTTCCATTTATGTTAGTATCATTGATTCCATTACTATGGATTTCCTCCTTAATACATGGAGCATCTGTAACATTCAAAAAAAATGTTAGTCACAAGAAAGTATAAAATGAGATAATGTTGTAATAACTAATAATAATTAATTACCATCTTTTATTGTAGAAAATGTGGAGTAATCTATGTTGTATTTCATGTCATAATAATAATCACATGGTGGAATGGACTTCAAATCTACCTGTGAAATAAAATAGCAAGACATGAATTATGAATATCAGAAGAAGATATTAAAATAAAAATGAAGTATAAGTTTTGAACATACACCAGGTGCTATTTTGACTACTTTGACTTTTGAGACAATGCAATCTAATGGATTGTCATTTTTTAAGGTAGAATAGAACAACCGCTTATTGTCATGAGATGCTGCTTCATCTTTTCCTATTACCTGAAGAAATAAAAATTCATTCATAACACAATAATATGCTGGATATGCTACAAAAATACTAATTTCATACAGATTCTAAAAGCACCCCATTTGGAATAGAGAGCTGTTATTTATAGTCTAAATTAGCCGAAGAATAAAATTAAATACGTGATGTGTCATAGTTTCAATGCATTTGAAAAGTATACAAAACATTCTTACAGTATCTTCAGCTCTGTAAAACCATTGAATTCTGAAAAAATCTTCATTTGAATTTGTCTTAAAAAATTCAAGCATCCTACCAACATGATCATGGCTACCTTCGTCACCCTGAAAGGCACATAAGCACAATAAGCAACTAAGTTCTTAACCACTTTAATATTAGTATACAGGAAGCCATAAAAATGATAAAATTACCTTCACACATGCATAATCACCAAGATCAAAGATGTGTGACTCGATATTAGCTTGTAAATAATGGCATTTCACATTCAAAACCAACTTGTCCTCGTTTCCATTATCATTGCTGCATCATTAAGTAACTAATTAATAAGAAAAACAAGTGTCTGATACTGCATATGAAATTAATTGCACAGTTAGAGTGATTACTTACTTGGTGTTTGGGAAGCGATCTTTGCTTTTGAGTTCCTACATACGACAATTAATTAAATTAATGAATCCAGACATACGACAATTAATCTTAATCGGATTAATAAATCCAGAATTCCAGACATCCGACAGTTAATCGGATTAATTATTACAGTCAAACAAAAGAATACGTTTCAATTACAGAAAAATAACACAAAAATATACCCCACAATCGTAACGCCAAGGCCATCTCCGTCGAGCCTCTTCGTCGGGAACTGGATCGCCGATCAAGAAAGAGACATTATTGGGGAGGGAAGAAAAAGGTTCAGTAGTCCGAGCCTTCTTTTTCTTCGGAATGTTATTAAAGTCAAAAGAACTGTCTGTGCC